GCTGTGAAGGCTAGGACTATAATAGAGTTTAAAGAGAAGCTAGATAATTTCATGGAGGTTAGGTCCATAAAAGGCTATTAGCCAGGGGATAAAATGGTGTCCTTGGCCTCTGTCTATCAGAGGCTGGAGAAGGATGGCAGGAGACAAATCACTTGATCATTGTCTTCAGTCCACCATCTCTGGGGCACCTGGTGCTGGCCACTGTCGGTAGACAGGATACTGGGCTAGATGGACCTTTGGTGTGACCCAGTACGGCCATTCTTATGTTCTTATGTTCTTATCTGGTCTGGTAGAGGTTTAGGCTTCTTATTTTTCATAGAACTATGCTGGACTGCAATCACTATAGCAGTGACAAATACACTAAAGTAGTCACATAGAGGGGTAGACCTTCCAAGACTAATGATATGGGCATATCTTTTTGACTGATAAATCATTGGGAAGGCAACCCATCTGTTTAAATTTGACATTCAAATGTTTTTATACATCCAAGATTGCTAGTTATCCTTGGATATATTTTCTCATTCCTAATCAATATCTTTTAATGAAAAAAAATTATTTTCAGAGTGTGAATCCATATCTGCAAGGCCGGAGACTGGACAACGTTGTCGCAAAGAAGTCTGTTCCTCATTTTTCAGATGAAGACAAAGGCACTGAATAAGTACAGTAAAAATAAATGATGGAAACTCGTGCCGCTCTCCACTAGATCTTAATATTGCTTACACATATAATCAGCTATTAAAATCCTTGCAAATGGCAGCATATTTATTATTTATATAATTGTGGATGAAAAACAGCTGTATTTATAACATTGTTCTCCTGGATAATGAAAATATGATTCTGCTGTCTGCTATGGTAATAGGATCTTTTAGTTGTTTTTGTATTTGTCATGGAGCAAGTTTTAAAAATATTAGTCATTTTAATAGCTAATGTGAGTTAAATAGCATTAAAAAGCAGCTTATAAAGAGGAAGATGAAAATGGCCCAGTTTATTTTCCGTGTTTATTCTATTTTCCCATGTTTGACACATGAAAATTATAGTTTTATTATTTTGTTCACAGATACTGTGATTAAACAAACTAAAGTAATGATAAATATTGTTTTACCCAGATACTTTCAACTTTGGTCTATTTTAATAAATATTCAAGCAATCTACAGTGTTTACAGCATGACATTTTGCACAGTATTTGGAGGATAATCTGCCTTGGTTATTGCTCTGCTAACTAGAAAACTGTGGTTTGTATCTACTTACTGAAGTATTTTACCTGATCAGTTTTTATCATTTCACTATCTCATCCTTCTCAGATGCTCACACCTACCTTGGCTACTTGCTAGTATTTCTCTAATTTGCAGACTTTGAAATCCCATGTTGTTTTTTTTCCTGAGTGGCTACTGCATTTGTACATTTAAAAAGAGTCCAAATTCATATTCCTATGGAATGCCATGAATGAGGAAAATAACATTTGTGTATGATGATAAAGATCTCTGGTCATAGGCAGGTTATATTGTAAATGGGAGGCTCTCCATTTTATTAGGATATAAGGTGTCCTATCAGCCTAAATTCCAGGACATGAGCTCACTCCATTAAAACAGGACTGATCTTATAAAAATCAAGACAGGTACCAACCCTACCCTGCTCCATCAAAGCACTTTAATTATTCAGTATGACCGTTAGCCTTGTCACAATACTGTCAATGCAGTTCTCATCATCAGTCAGCTGATTCAACACCAGCACCTCTAAATATCCAAGCGGGGCTATAGTGCAGATGAGATTCCCAGATATAGGCTAATCAGCAGGCCTCACCCTGGGCCTTCAATTTTACCAGTTGTCGGGCAATGGTAAACCCCATATCAGGCTATGTAAATTACTTGCTTTATCTCAAGAGAAAAAAGAAAGGTGAAAAGGGACCGCCATCTGGTCCATGGCCATCTAATACTCTCATGCAAGAAGCAAGGGGGAAACTGTAGTCTCTGTATAAAGACCTATCCCAGCCAGTCTTGGTAGCCAACTACTGGTCTTGAAGTTGCAACTGCGTAGCTCACCTCAGAAGTCTTTGTCACACTGGTGAACTTGAAAAGGATTCCTTCCTAAATCTACAGATTGATACACACCTTACAGTCAGATGGGCTGTGATGGGATCATCTGATCAAATTTTGTTACTTCTATTAGGTATGTGGCATTGCTTTCCAGGCAAAGAGGCCACGTTACACACTAGGGATGTTAAAATTAGATTAATTGAATTGTTGATGGAATTTCTATCAACTATTCAATTAGTCGATAAGGGCGCTTCTGCTTTGAAATGTAACAAGAGCCCACCCGACTGTTGCTACATTTCAAAGGCAGAAGTGCCACGCAGCATTCCGCCTTTGCAATGTACATTTCAAAGATTAAAACACCACATGAAGCCTGGGGCCAGCAGGGGACTCTGATAGAAGCAGCAAGGTGGGGGGAAGCAACTAGTCAACTAGTGTGTCAACTAGTCAATTAATCGCTTACATCCCTATTAATATATATTTTTCCTACATATCAAGTGGCCCAGAAATAATAACAAATGGATTAATGTTATATTTATAAATCTCAATCTGTGAGACAAGATACATTCCCTCCTAAAATGCTCAACCTAGATAAGACAGAATGCAAAAGTTAGAAGACTGACAGAAACTGAAATTCTACTTGGTAAAATTCAGATTCACTAGATTTTCAAAAACTGGACTGTGGTGATGCTGCATTTTCTATTTAGTAATTACAGCTGAACAAACATTTACTCACTGATTCTTGCCTTTTTCAAACTATTTGTAAGTAGGTTGCAAAACTTCAGAATTTTTTCTACCATCTGAATTCAACACAAGTTTTTCACACTCTTCTTTCTTATTGTGATGGGGCATCTGCCCTGCACTGGCCCTTTAAGTGTTAAAACCCAGACCTGGGAGAGAGGACTGGAGTGATCTGAATTCAACACAAGTTTTTCACACTCTTCTTTCTTATTGTGATGGGGCATCTGCCCTGCACTGGCCCTTTAAGTGTTAAAACCCATACCTGGGAGAGAGGACTGGAGTTGTGGAGCCAGCAGCTGTGGCAGATATTAGCCAGTTAGGGCCCAGCTGTGAGCAGTATAAATAAAGGCTCCTGGAGGGGAGGGAGGACATAGACTCACTCTTGCTCCAGCTGTGTAGGGACCTAGCTGCCAGGGAAGTTGGAGGCTTTCTGGCTTAGGAGTAGGGCCAGGGGAAAGTAGGCAGAGCTGGGGAAGTCCTGGTTAGGAAGCTCCCAGGCTGCAGGGCCTGAAGCAATGCCTCAAGATACTAGGCTGCCAGGATAAGCAAAGGCAGTAGGTCCAACCCCCCCCTTTCTATGATGAGTGGCCATTTCAGACTGCAGTTTGTCCCTGATGTAAGGGGCTAGTTACTGGCAGTAGGGTCTCTGAGGCAAGGTGGGGGTTGTGGGTTCTCTGAGGGGAAGAACCCCAATGTGTGGGGGCACTGCAGCAGGGCAGTACCCAGAGAAGAAGATGCCACAGTCTGGGAGGGACTGGGCCCTAACACACAGAGGTATAGGAAAAATAGGTAACAGCAGGTGAGACACCAGCCAAAAGGGGGCATTCCAGGGCTGATAATTCCCAGAGTGACCAGCAGGGGGCACCACAACAGTGAGTGTCACACCCTGTTACACTTACCAAGAATATATTAACAGAAGTTTTAAGTTGAAGGGAGTGTATGCTGCAAGGTGAGATTTGTAATTGGATATGGCAAGATGATACTGAACAATCGCAGATCCCCAAAACATCAGATGTTGACTGTACTCAAGATTTCACAGGATCAGCTGCATACTCCCTACTTATTGAGCATACTCAACCCTTTATCCTGTTTTCCTGCTTATTCTTCATTCAGACCTGAAGTACAAAGAAATTATCATAGGGTGGATCTAAAATAGAAATCCAGGGCTATATGTCATGTCATCAGTTTAAGAGAAGAACTTTCCATTGATTTCACTGGCCCAAAATATATCCATACACTTCTATCTATGTCCTGCTGCAGCCAGACAAAATTGTAGTGAGATGAGGTAGGTGAGATAATATCTTTTATTGGCCCTATATCCGTTGGTGAAAGAGGCAAGCTTTCAAGTTACACAGCTCTGGAAGAGAATTCTGTGAGGCTCAAAGGCTTGTCTCTCTCACCAGCAGAAGTTGGTCTAGTAGAAGATATCTCACCTGTGTTGTGTCTCAAACATTTGGGGACCAATGGCCACAACAACACTGACAGAATTTGGTTGAGGCCTTTCCACACCATTAGGTCCCATAGAGCTAGAAGAGTGATTCTTCAGCTTCCCTCCCCTTGCCTTCTACACTGTTAGGGAAAATGGTTCTACAGGCTCTACAAGGTTTACCATCTAAAGGAAGCCCATTTAATTACTTGTCAGATTAAAGACTCAACCACTAAAGTGACTCAATTTTCAATCTTTTAATCCCTTTCCTGTGCTTTCCCACAATATTTGTACTTGGTAAATGCATATTTTATAAAGTGAAGGGTGGGATGAGGTTTGTTCAATAGCTTCAAAAAATCCTGATGTCTAGTTCCTTTAAGAGCTGTGGGTCTCAGTGATTTAATCCACGCTACTCAGTGATGTGATAATTAGGCACCACAAACCAACTACATTATTGCTGAGGTACTGCCTGATAATTGCTTACAACCTCAACAGGGCCTGAGAAGCTGAATGTCTCTCTTAGATCAGTATGGAGATGGGAAAACATATTCTAGAGTTTGGAGATTTTTGTCCTTTTTTTTATACACTTGGCCCAGTTTTTCTGAAAAACCAGCCGCTTTTGTGGAAAAGCTTGCCAGCTGTCTACACTGGCCGCTTGAATTTCTGCAAAATCACTGACTTCCTACTGTAAGAAATCAGTGCTTCTTGTGGAAATACTATTCTGCTTCCGTTCAGGCAAAAGTCTTTTTGCGCAAAACTTTTGCGCAAAAGGGCCAGTGTAGACAGCTCAGATTTGTTTTCCGCAAAAAAGCCCCGATTGCGAAAATGGCAATCGGGGCTTTTTTGTGAAAATGCACGTCTAGATTGGCCACGGACACTTTTCTGCCAAAAGTGCTTTTGCGGAAAAGCGTCCATACCAATCTAGATGCTCTGTTCCGAAAATGCTTTTAACGGAAAACTTTTCTGCTAAAAGCATTTCCGGAAAATCATGCCAATCTAGACGCAGCCTTCATGTTACCACAAATAACATGTAAATCTTTCTTTAAAACTATCTGATAAAATAACTTAAATTCATGGCAGGCTGCTGATTCCATTAAACCCCATTGATTGTACTTGAAATTAGGAACTCCGCCCCCTCCCCCCCCAAAACTATTGAGAAACTGTAACCCATGACTTTGTATTCTTGGTAGTAGGATTACCAATTCTATCTTCAGCTTTGTGTATGGCCTGGCTTTCTGAAATGGGGTAGGCACGCCCTTTCACAATCGAAAGAGACCAAATTCCAAAAGGGATTGCAATTGTACATAAAACCCCCATCAATAGCTTTTCCTCAGACATGCTCTTATGGATTCAACCAGAAAAAATATCAAATATCTTTTTTCAGTTAATTGTGCACATTGCTCAAATAAAGTAATATATTTGTACAGAGTATCAATCAACAGTAGCTGAATTTCTGGTTTGTTTGGGGAAGTACATGAGTTTCTGAAAAAAATTGCATGATGGCATTTATGATATTTTAAAGATCAAGAACCGCTTTATGATGCTATAACTGTTTACTATTTTAGCTCTTTAGAATTAAAAATTTGACATTGTAAGGTATTTTACAAACTTCAAGGGTATTAATTATCTCTAAAGTATTTTAAGATATGGTTTGTATGAAAGAAGCTGTACAAAATAAAATGCATTGCAATGAAAGCGTTGGTAAAAATATCTAAGAACAAACTATAATACTTAAAGTTATTAAGTAGACAAAAGTATATGATTTATACACACAGAGTGCTTTGCATGTTAATATGTCAAATACAGTATATTAGTCATGTTAAGATTTTGCTAATTATTTAAAGATGATAATCTGCAAAGTAAGCTAAATAGTATAAGAATGGGTAACGAGTTAAGTGATTTGATTATTTTTATTGGCACATTTGTGTTTAGCTAAACAAAGTCCTTTTTGACAATCTTATTCAATGCCCGATAAGGGACCTTTAAACAAACTGTGCAGTAGCTTTGCCTAGTGAAAGAGGGGGAGGAAATCTAGTAGGTTTTTAAGTAGAGCTAATTAGAACATTTTTCTGAAATTAATGTTACATTGCAGTATTTTACATAGACCTATATTGCTCCTTACAAGTTACAACTCTGTTTTTTCCAAGAAGCTTTTCAGCTGAGGAATAGGAAGGAAGAAGGCAAGGAAGACCAATTACAGGTGGCTAGTTAAGGCACTGATGTTGAAGACCTAGGCTCAGATTTCTGCTCTGCATAATTTGAAGTCATCAAGGATGAAAATCTCTGCTTTCAATGTATGGGATATGAAGTTAGGCCTCACTAATACCAGTTATATACGCTGACCATCCATATCATTTTCACAAAACACATTTGAAAAGTTTTGTTCAAAGTGGACCAAAGCCAAATTTGAAATCTCAAAAGTTGGTGTGGAATGGCATTGTTGTTCTCTGGTCAGTTCTAGTTGTAAGATTTTGGACACGATTCTGATCTCCTTTACAAGGTGAAAAAGTGGTGTAATCCATTGATTTCAGTGGCATTACTGATTTATACTGTTGTAAGAGAGCAAAGATCACGTCTGGGTTTGTTGGCTCAACCAAAAAGCTTAGACTGATGTAAAGATCTGACATGCAGGCCTATTTACAATATGCTGTGTGGAAGCTGGGTAGATACAGAGGGCACAACTACTAAAGCCAAACATGGTATGCGAATGCTACAAGGCAAATACTGATCTATGTGAACTGGCTATAGCAGAGGATGTGTCTACGCTGCACCATAACTCAAAATAAGATACGCAATTTGAGCTATGCAAATAGCGTAACTTATTTCAGTGATATTTTGAAATAGCTTATTTCGTCATTTGTTGGTGTCTACAAAGCACCAAATTTCAAAATAAAGCGCTATTCCGAAACATCCCGTAGTCCTCGTAGAATGAGGTTTACAGGGACGTCAGAATAGCAAGCCCAAAATAGTGTTGCAGCGTAGACATACCCAGAGAGAGAGAGAGAGACCCAGGAATTTCATATTCGTAAAACTACTGTTTGCTGATACAGCACAGTCAGTAGTGTTCCCTCTAAGTTGAGGTCTTGGGTGGCCACTCAGGAAAACTTCCAATGTCACCTCGCTGATTAGTGCTCACTAGTGGTACACATCTGAACGTGCCTTGGTGCACATAAAATTATTCTTCACATGGATGGGAAACATTAGAGGGAACATTCATGACCAGGTTTTAAACTCCCTCTGAATCTACTCTCCTCTTTTGTGCAGGATGACACTGGTTGCCGGTGAACAGAGAACATGAAAGACCTCACCCCAGTGTCTTAAGCCAGTAGAGTTTGATAGTGCCTCTCTCTTCGAAATCAGGCACATATCCTGATCTATGCAAATTGAAAGAGAAGGCCAATCTCTGAAGAAATATTGAAATGCTATAAAAAAAAGAAACCCTTCACAAATACCCACTCGTGTGTGTGTATGTGTATGTGTGTACATTTAAACTTGAAACACACAACATCAAACAAAGTAATAGAAAAAGTGTTCTTCCTTTATTGATCTAGCAAAAACTGTGTTCAAGTTGTCATACTTCCTATATGTGAGCCAGCCACAAATCCTTACTGCAAATTAAGGGAAGCAGCCTTACTGTTTGCTGTTATTAAGTATTTATTTATCATTTTTAAATCTATCCAGATATTGCATTAATGATTTAGAATCTGTCTTTTTTTTTTAATTAAAGCACTG